CATTTTATGTTACTACATAATATATGTGATTGTGATAAAAATCATGAGACATACTAAAACTTTAATTGAGGATAAGCCCTACCAGTTTCGTGGGACAACGGGTCTCATATCCAGGTGGAGCGCATTCAAGGCACGTCGCGCATCGAGTATTGGCTGTGCGTCAAGTTCCGTAGGGACTTGAAACCAGTAAAGCTTTTCTCTGTTCACGTGTAAACATCAAAACTCGTTATTAAAAAAAAAACATATTTTCGTTTGGGTCAAGCCCCAATACTACTGCGTAAATAGTGTTCGAATACCACCATACTTACCAAGCAAGGATATTATCATGATTTAGAATATTCTTGGGATGTAAGGGGGCGAACTTCCATCTTTCGCCCCAAGCCAACCTCACCTGCACGCGGTGCATCCTGCTGGTCAACGAACGAGGCTCTGGCGACCGACCGACGGCGGTATATCCGTCCCTTACAAACAGGCGAAATTAAGTACCGCAGGCCGGTGACGGGCAGCAGCGTTACCGGTGCGAAAAGTTTCGCCCTGCGATCGCCAACCCGCCTGCCCAGCGTGGCGATTATGGGCAATACCTCCTATGGGCAAAAAACGAAGGCCACGGCCCCCAGTTCCCGGCAGCCCCACTATTCCTGGTCATGGTGGCGACCATGGTAACGGTGGGGTAGGGGGTGCTAAGAATCTCCGGGCTACGGGAGGCCACCACAACAGACTGACCCTGGCGACGTACAACGGACGCACGCTACGGCTTGACTCGCATCTAGCGCAACTAGAGGTGGAACTTGGGAAGATCAGGTGGCACATACTAGGGTTATGTGAAGTCCGAAGAGAGGGGGAGGACACGATAACTCTCAAATCAGGCCACCTGATGTACTTCCGTGAGGGAGACCAAAAATCCCAAGGTGGCGTTGGGTTTCTGGTTAACAAGTCCCTATCTAACAATGTTGTGGAAATGTCGAGTGTGTCGAACAGGGTCGCGTACCTCATTATAAAGCTCACCGAGAGGTATAGCCTTAAGGTGGTCCAAGTGTACGCACCGACCTCGGCACACTCCGATGATGAGGTGGAGGAGATGTTCGATGATATATCGAGGGCCCTCCACTCCACCACTAGGACTCACTTCAACATTGTTATGGGGGACTTTAACGCCAAAGTGGGAGTACAAAATTGCAGTGAATCGGTAGTAGGATCCCATGGGTATGGAAACAGGAATCATAGGGGGCAAATGCTCGTCAATTTCCTCGAACGGGAGGGGATGTTCTTAATGAATTCATTCTTTAAGAAGCAGCCCCAAAGGAAGTGGACGTGGCAAAGCCCCGACACTATGACAAAGAACGAGATCGACTTCATCATGGCGGACAAAAGGCACATATTCAGAGACGTCTCCGTGATTAATAGGTTTAATACCGGTAGCGATCACCGACTCGTCCGAGGCTCTCTGAATATCGACTTCAGAGCCGAACGAGTCCGCTTGATGAAGGCCAGGCTCCGACCAACCCTGTTTCAAATCAAAATGGGATCTGAAGCGTTTCAGTTAAACCTGGAGAACCGATTTGCTGCCCTGGAAACCACAACCGACGTTAACCGGAACCTTGAAAACGTGGTTCGAGTTCTCAGGGAAGAAGGTACGAGATTTTGTGAAATGCAGCGTAAGGGCAAGAAGTCGAAGCTTTCGGAAGAGACTTTAGGGCTTATGAAGAGACGACGTGAAAACCCACCCGTCACTTCGTCAGAGAAGCGGGCTCTAAACCGAGAGATTAGCAAACACGTGCGACACGATCTCCGGTGCTCGAATACCCTTGCAATCGAGAGAGCGATCGAGCAAAACCGGGGGCCAAAAGTGTTCGTACAATCTCTTGGAAGAAGCCACCTGACGAAGTTGACCACAGCAAGTGGAGAAGTCGTTGTCTCGAAGCCGGCAGTTCTTTCGGAAGTAGAAAACTTCTACGGCCGGTTATACGCTTCGCATGCATCTCGACCTGACCCCGGAAATGAGGACTCTAGAGCCACTTTAATACGCCATTACACCGAAGACCTGCCAGAAGTCAGCATTGACGAAATCGAGATCGCTCTTGGACAGCTTAAAAATGGAAAAGCCCCTGGAGAGGATGGCGTTACGACAGAGCTTCTAAAAGCAGGCAGCAAACCGGTACTCAGGGAGCTGCAAAAGCTATTTAACGCTGTCCTGTTTGAAGGGAGAACTCCAGAGGCGTGGAGTCGGAGTGTGGTCGTCTTGTTCTTCAAAAAGGGTGACAAAACCCTACTGAAGAATTATCGACCCATTTCCCTTTTAAGCCACGTCTATAAGCTGTTCTCGAGAGTGATCACGAACCGCCTTGCGCGAAGACTTGACGAATTCCAACCACCGGAGCAGGCTGGGTTTCGGAGCGGATACGGCACCATAGACCACATCCACACAGTGCGGCAGATTATACAGAAGACTGAGGAGTATAATCAGCCCCTGTGCCTAGCATTTGTGGACTATGAGAAAGCCTTTGACTCGGTCGAAATCTGGGCTGTTCTGGAGTCCCTGCAGCGATGCCAAGTAGATTGGCGATACATCCAAGTGATGAGATGTCTCTACGAGGCCGCCACCATGTCCGTCCAAGTACAGGATCAGCAAACAAGGCCGATACCGTTGCATCGAGGTGTGAGACAAGGGGATGTTATCTCCCCGAAATTGTTCACAAATGCAATGGAGGATATGTTCAAGACGCTGAACTGGAAAGGACGCGGCATCAACATAAATGGCGAGTACATCTCTCACTTGCGATTTGCAGACGACATCGTCATCGTAGCAGAAACGCTGCAGGACCTACAACGGATGCTGAATGACCTGGCTGACTCTTCTATACGCATCGGCCTACGGATGAACTTGGATAAAACCAAGGTCATGTTCAATGAACATGTACTACCGGAACCGATTGCAGTACACGGCGCTGTTCTCGAAGTCGTTCAAAAATATGTATACCTCGGGCAGACATTGCAGATGGGTAGAAACAACTTCGAGAACGAGGTGAATAGAAGAATTCAGCTAGGTTGGGCAGCATATGGAAAGCTGCGTCAAGTCTTCACGTCGTCGATCCCACAGTGCCTAAAGACGAAAGTCTTCAATCAGTGCGTCCTACCTGTCATGACATACGGAGCCGAAACGTGGACACTGACGGTGCGGCTGGTTCGCAAGCTAAAAGTCACTCAGCGAGCTATGGAGAGGGCTATGCTCGGCGTTTCTCTGCGAGATCGAATCAGAAACGAGGTGATCCGGCAGAGAACCAAGGTAATCGACATAGCCCACCGGATTAGCAAGCTGAAATGGCAGTGGGCTGGCCATATTAGCCGAAGAACCGATGACCGTTGGAGTAGACGAGTTCTTGAGTGGAGACCGCGTCTCGGCAAACGTAATGTAGGACGTCCTCAGGCAAGGTGGAGTGATGATTTGCGCAAGATGGCTGGCAGGAGCTGGATGCGAGTGGCCGAAGATCGATCCCAGTGGCGTGCAATAGGAGAGGCCTATGTCCAGCAGTGGACTGAAAAGGGCTGATGATGATGATGATGATGATGAGAATATTCTTAAAAGAGGTTCAGTTCCGAAGTAAAGTAGCACTGGACTATGTTACTGGCAGTTGATGTTTAAATAAAAGAATAAGCAAATTAATTAAATCCACTTAAAACTCCTGAAGCAGCAACAGAACAATATTCTCACATAAATTAACAATCTATTGTTAATGGCACACGATTACCCATTGACACTGTAATGAATAAAATTAATTAAATCTTCCTCACTGTTGCATACCAATAATACGTATAAAACTCTTAAAGTCCAAGGAATAAGGTTGAAACTTGAATGACTGGTTTAAAATAGAAGATGTGAAACAATGTTTCATTTGAAACAATGTAATGCTATGTCTAAAAATAGTACTTACCCTTTATGTTTAAGTGACAAATACATTTTCGTTTTAGCTTACCTGACGGTAAGCAATCGGTTCCTCCCATGGACTGTGTGTGTTGCCGGCCTTTTGCGGATCAAGGTTTCGGAGATTTAGGCATAGGGGAGGGGTAGGGATTGGACCTCCGTTAAAGTCACTTTCGCTGTGTGTTGTTTTCTGTGAGGCCGTTGTATCATTCTAGTTGAGCCTACCCATTCGTGCCGAAGCTTGGTTGTCCCACACTGAAGTTCCAAAGTAATTTAAATCAAAGAAAACAAACATTTATCGCTTTTTAAGAAACTGTATCGAGGTAGGATGGAGGAGGATGCCTAAATAAGGTAACCTTTTTCCATTTAGAGGTCACAGAATTGTTTTGCCAACTTACCGTTACAAAAGCCGATAACTCCATTTCGCTTCGGTAGCTTGGTGTTTCACCTAATTTCCTTACAATCGCGATGGTTCAACTTTCATTGTTTTCATTATATTATCGCTTTTCTTCTACGCTGGTAAATATTGTGCACGATAATTCGGAAATGTTTTCCTAAGTAATGCTGTCAGCAGATAATAGGAATGAACTGTTTCGTTTGCAATAAAACGTTCTGTTGTGAGAGTAGAAAATTGAGTTTTGGGGGCTTTTATAATTCGTAATGTATTTTTTTATGAGATGGGTCGGCAAACGTATTTACGGATTACCTGATGGTAAGCAATCGTCGCCACCCATCGACACCACAGAAGTTAGTAACAAATGCCTTTTGAGAATTAGGGTTTTGGATATTTAGTGATAGGGGAAGGATGGGGGAAGGGGAAGGATTGGGCATCATCGTTAATCTCACTTACATGACTAACTACAACGGTGTGGTTGTTTCACGCCGTTTCTCCGATCGAACCAATCCATCCATGCCAAAGTTTAGCTGCACAGAACTAAGCTCATAAATAGTTGCGGATCCTTAATAATATTTCAGTCGTTTCCTCATTCATTGAAAACAAATTTTCTTCTAATGGAATAGGAGGTAAACCAACAGATGGTCAGTATTCCTCAATCAACCATATTTTTTTCTTTATCCACAGAATGCAGATTCAGTCCTCATCGACGGTTCCTGTCAAGTACCAGATAATTTGTACAAGGCTATCGGCTCTATCATCTCCTTCTACATTCCATTAGGCGTCATGCTGCTGACATATGCCTTGACAATTCAGCTTCTAGCGAGACAAAGAAAGGGTCTTGGAGCTGGCTGGGCACCTGGATGGCTTGGCGCTCCTCCTATTGGTAAGTGATTCGTTATTTTCTGATGTTTTCTAGCTTTAATTGAGACTTAAGTAGAACCGTCGGCTAGTAAGTTTTGAGGAGTTATCCCAATTACTGTATATTTGAAGTTAAATTGGTAAATAGATGAATTTCTATAGTTGATCTTTTTTCCGATCTAAATTGAGAGTGGATTATTTTAGGAACAATTTAATTTGTTCAACTGCTATTGATATTATTGTATAAAGCTATTAAAGCTTAGTGGTTGGATGAAAAATTGTTCAATTTTGAATTTTTATTCATCATTTTTGATATTTCAAAAGCCGACTTTTACCAATACAGGGCATTACAAAATACATATCATAGATGATTAATGCATAAACCAGGGTCGCGGGTCAAGCGCTATAAGGCACCACCGACTCGTTCTGGAGCAGGAGAAACGGGGAGGTTTTTAGTTAGTAAGAGTGACACTCCCTCTTGCCCTCCCTCTTCCCTGAGCAAGAGAAGACATTTGATAATATTCCCTTCTCAAAAAATAAAACACGACACACACGTCAGAATATGTTTCTTTAACTTAGGTTGCTAATTTCCCTATAATATTCGAATATTATGTGCCTAAAGTTACGAATTTTAGTAATTAGATCTCTGCTAGATGATTGAACAAAAAAACGAATTATTCTATAACAGTATTCTAGAACAATTTGTTTACCTTTAAAACACCCTTAGACCTTTCCCTATGAAAACGGAACACAACAATAACAACTTGATTTAGCAGTAAGTTTAATCAATCTCACGAAAATGGTCCCCGAGATTAAAAAGCACTCAGAGTAGGCTTGATTTTAATAGGATTTAGATCTTGAAATTACATCTGATATTACACACTGTTGCGAAAACGAAAGGATAATTCTATGCTTCATGATGTAACGACAACCATTTATTTTATGTACAAATTAGCTGATGGTAGGTAATCAGTACCCGAGAGAAGTTGCAGTACTTTTCCAGCCTTATGAGAATAAAGGATTTTGATAATTCAGGGATTGGGAAGAGAGGGGTAAGATGGACCTCCGGTTACCTCAATCATCAAGCGAAACACAACAGTATGGTTATTTCACGCCGGTTCCCTATAAGCCACTCCGGTGGGATCACTCCGCCGATATTTTTTGTTCTACTCGTGTCAAATTCTACACAACGTAGTCTACAATTTATTTATACATTTTATTAAGTACTATAATTGCAACCTTTTTCAAAATTTATAATTAAGAATAAATTGGAAGAATTTCTCTTCAACAAATACTTATTAATAATTCCTGCAGTAGGCATTTGCTTCATGAGGTTTATTACTTCAAAAAGGTAACATAAAAAACACGTCCAATTCAATTTTCTTTATGCGATCAAAGAGGGTATACTTTTTTTAATACTACCTGCCTTCTTTTTACCCTCATTTCAATTTGGCATAAACAGATTTGGGGTTCGAAAATCCTTTTGAAAAAAAAAATACTTGTGTGATTTAAAAGACAGTGTGTCTCAAAAATTTTTGTACTTACAGAAGTGCTTGTTGCTAATCTCTGCGGAATCATCGAGATATAATAATTTCGGGGTATAAAATACTCAGTGGGTAAAAAATGGAGAAAATCCCTTACGTTCTTGATTAGAAACGCGATATACGAACCTTAATAGGCTGGAGCCCGTTAATAAATGTCGCCTGTAGCATTATTTGATACTTTATACTTACACTGTGTTGGCTAAGCGAAGCGATGACTTCGACAATATTTCGGTTTAGGTTAACCTCACTTTATTAAGCAGTCACAGGCAAAATTGGATGTCTTGAAGATAAGGTGTTTCAAACAGGCTGGAACCACAAACTACATTTTTAAACGCTTTGCCCTTTGAGATAAATAATTTATCAATATTCGCTAAAAAACCGATAGCACATTGGGTGTTTTAACTTATTCAATATCCCACAAAACAAATTTTAACAGCATTTCGCGGTTGCTTTCAAAATTATTGAACAATACAATCTTCTATTAATTTGATCTCATCACAATTTATTTTGAGCACAAACTTATTTGTGGAATATTGAGTTAATTTCACTGTAATAAAAGGTAAAAGGGGACGGTTGGTGATTTTATTAAAATTATGATGAACGTAATAACGTCGTCATTAGGTACACAATCGTGGAAAAATTATTTATATTTATAGCTTGAAGAAATTGGCTTATCTATTTTTATTGTGACTGGTGTATACATATTTTTAAACTGTATTTTGTGCCTTATATACAGCCTTTAGATCTAATCTAAGCAAAGAATTCTATTCTAATTCTATTCTATTCTATTTTATTCTAAATAAATTGCAAATTGAAAGAGTTCATATACAACTTTTTCTATTTGGAAATGAAATCGAAATGTTCGTATTATATATTTTACCATAAACCATTAGTATTATGTAACAGTTACACATCGTCAAGGACAAATAGCTGTTTCGTAACAACTTTGCCTTAAAAGATTTTAAAATCTATAGATACTTTCTCTTGAAGGCCGATCAATAACCACTATCATAATAATATATGGTATCAATGAAACCACAGACAGACAGATATGACAGTCCTTTAGTCAAGGCTTAGTTCGCACGTGGCCACATTTGTATCGGGAAATTGGATTGCAATCATGCCTCCACAATATCCGGCACATGTTCCCATTTAAACTGTTAATTGTACTGTACGGAGCCCGGATATAAGTGTCATCTACTATCTAGTGGCTTCTAGAAGCCTGTAGTTCATTATAGTGTGTATATAATTTGTTCAAGGTCATTTCGTGACCATAGGAGTGTTGTGGATAAAATAAGTGACTTTGGTGAGTTCTATGATGCTGATGGGTGAATCCATTGTCTAACTTTTGGACTGAGTTCTGAAGATTTAAGTAGTAAATTAGAATACAGGTACTTTTAAAAACTATTTGCTATTAGATACTTATGATATGTAAATGTGGGAGAGCTATGCTTCGGAACGAATGCACAGGCTTGAGAGGAGTGATACCACAGCCTCGCAGAATGCCGGCATGAAACAACAATTAATATGTGTTTCACCGTGTGAGTCATGATACCCGAGGTATAATCCCTCCACCCCCATCTTAAATCTCCAACTTGCTCATCGCTTGCCGACCTACTTACTATACAGTATAGCATTTTGAATGTTGACATTTTAGTGGTTTTTGGTGCTCAAATAAAACAACATTCCATAAGACCAATATGGAAATTTCAAAAAAAAGATTGACTTCTACATGCAATACGATTAATCAGCTGTTGCGATTTGTATGGGGTTAAAAAGTTATTTTTGAGATTTTGCTATTATTCCCAAAGAAAAAGTCGTTTTGATTGCGCACAAAAATTGGCTCCTTGAATATGTCCTCGTTTAAAATGCCACCCTGTATAAAAAAGTAATCTCTAAAATTTTTGTACCCACATCTGTCCTACGTCCAAGACTCAACGTCCCAAACATAGAAACGACAAATATTAATCGGATAAAAGCTTTTATATTTGATATATCAAAGTAAACCCATATACTGTCCCCTTGAAAGGGTACTCAACTAATATTTACTTGTGACTACGAAATGGAATTCGTGGCGGGATTAAGCGGTCTCCCACATCCGTAATATGAGTTTTATATCTGTAATATTTATGGAGGATTATTGGTTTTTTGGTTTCTTTAGTAAGCATGGGCTGGTGGATGACAATGATCATTCACAAGAGTTGCGCAATTTTTACCATAATTTGGTGCCAACCATGCACTATTGAGCAAAGTTTTTTTTACACAGAATAGGCTCGACTACGACTGCTCAGAGCGGCTTGGCGATTTGAATCATACCTAGAAATTATAAGTTCAACTTTCGTCACGCTGTTAACTTTCAGCGTATGTTAGTTTTTCTAATAAATCGACAAAATTGTTTATTTTGTACAAAAAAAACGTAACAGGTCTTTTTCGAAAATAGCCCCTATATAACTTTAAGTTACTAACTTGAAAATCAACAGGTGAAGCAATGTTGCCAATCTTTGCAAACGGATTGGTGAACCTCTAGCAGGCGTGAATGTCATAATCTTCCGTCCTCTTCTAATTAAAAAAACTTGTTACTACATCAGGCTTTAAGTTAGATGAGTGTCCAAAATATAACTAATTATATACTTTTTATGAGCAAAATGGTTAACATTATTTTACAGTCTGAAAAGTAATCAGAAATCCAATAAGATCCACCAATGCATGTTAAAAATGAAGGACCAAACTAACACAGTATCGTAAGTACATGGACGCAAATAAGGATAATATTTTTCATGGAACGCCATGGAGCGCTATATTAAATATTATTAGTAAAATTGTATTACGTATGTGCGTTCCAAAAAATCTGGTTTAGCCTCTATGTTGATGTCTATAGGAAGTGAACCTTTTCAACAGAATTTCACATATATGTACAAATAGTTTAGTGTTTCAAGTAAACAGTGGCTTAATTACAATACACACTACTTTCCTTAAGTGTTGTAATTAGCTAAGAGACACACGACCTAAAGATATCATTTCACCAGCTCAAACAACCAGAAATAAAAACTAGAAAAGTACGTTAAAAACCCTCCCTAGCCATATGCACTCCTAAAAGCTTCCACACTATATACAGTTTGAAAAGGAATAAGCTAACACGTAGGCATTAGACCCCTATCACGGCAAACCGAAATGTCAAACCCGTCCAGTAAACGAGCAGCCGAAAAAATATCCGTAAAAAATCGGCCTCGATCAATTTGTCGGCACACCGTTTATGTAAATGTCCCGTCATTTAGCTAAATGTCACATTACGCTAAATGCCTTCACGTACGTAGAAACTTACGTATACACTAAAGGGTGGTTGGTACACCGTAGCTTATATTGGAACAATTTTGCCGTGCATGATACCACTTGGACTAAGGACTTTATTTGCATCAGAGGATGTGCTTTAATAACCACCCTTTGTAAGGAAAAAAGAGATTGCTGTACTACTTTTATTTCAAAAATTGGGTATACTCTTTGTCAGCTATAGTAACATCCATGCATAGAAGAGACCTGGTATCAAACAATCAGACCAGGCCAGAAGCTGACCTGCTGTAGATAATACAGCAGGTCAGCTTCGGTGGAGTTGTGGATTTATGAAATGAAAATTTGACGATTACTTACCATCAGGAAATGTGTCTGCTCGTTTGCAGTAGAGCGTTTGCAGAAATTTTCAATTTTTTATTGTAAGTTACAATGTACGTCCCACATCGTATGGGAGTGTGTAGTTTGCTCAAAGTAATCAGGTTTCGGATTAATATCCCCTTGTGACAATTTCGCGGGTATTTGCTTATGGGAATGAGAACTTCTGTACAAGTTTGCTTGTAAAGTGTTCAGTAACTTTTAATGGATAAGTTGATATAAATTAAATTATTTTGTTGGTTAAAAATATCGTAAACTCGACTTGTGATAAGAGAGGTTTGGTGAGGTTAATTAATTATTGGTCCCTACGAATTTTATTTATATATAGGAATTTGGTCTACCAACAATTGCCAAAACAAATAAATTAATTAAAGGCAACAGTGAAACAAGTACTTAAAGATATCGATGTTTAAATAAACTTTTCGTTAGCAGTATTAGAGTTAGTTCGGTTCAAGAGCCTAGGGATGAAGTATCATTTACAGCAGCGCACCGCAACATTGAATGAAAATTTATCAGAAATAAAAAAATTCTGAGTGAACAAGGGATAAGAGAGGATATGGGACCATATACATAACCATATAACATAGTAGTCAGTCAGCATTGCAGGTATTTTGTATAAATACTTGTGTTGGGACGGAATTTGAAACCGCGATCCTAAGCATTGAATGGCAGACGCAAGTATTCTATTACCGTGCCCTTGGGATTCGAATTATTGTCACGCTTAAAATTTTTCATCAGAACCTTCCCAGGCTTATTTTACGTTTTCCAATTGTGGGCACGAAATTGTTATATTATTTTAAATATTGTAGTATTTATTATCAAATTTGCATTCCAACAGTTGCTGTTAGGACTGTTGAATTTGTTGCCGATAACGACTTATTCACGTGAATTAATTGAGGAAAGGTCTACTAGTTTCACACAATAGTGCTTTTCATTCATGAACAGCATCGCGGCGACAATTCTTGTGAGTAAGTCTTTCTTGTGAGTAAGAATTTAGTGTGGCCCCCGATGATAACTATAAAAATAGGACTGTTGAAATTTAATGGAGTGATTAAGTTTTAAGAACTACTCATACTTAGTAGTTAGTAACTCATACTTAGTAAAATTGTCTTATTTTAGATTCCACACAAAAATAGAACATGACGTTGATTAACTAAAAAAATTGCGGGTTACTCACGTGTATATGTTGAGAAAAGCTCTACTAGTTTCGAACCACAGAGGGGTTCTTCGTCATCAGCAGCGTGCGGGGACGCGGCTACGTCGCGCAGCCTACTACTGGTTAGCGTTGGCGCCTGCATCGCTGTTGATGGTTGCGCTGCGGCGAGTCCATCTCATGAAGAAGAACCCCTCTGTGGTTCGAAACAAGTAGAGCTTTTCTCAATATACCTATATACACGTGAGAAACCGCGATTTTTTAGTTAATAAAGTATGTCTCACGATAGTTACTATAAAAAGTTGACGCTGATTAAATACATATATATTAACAAGTTATTGAACTTTATTTACCTACGAGACATTTGCAGCTTGCCTAAATAACCAAAAATCACAGTTTATCTAAATTTTAATAAAAGTGACGATAGTTAACTTTTACTTTTTATCCCATACATTTATATTCAAATTTTAGTCATAAAAACTGCAATAAACATTTGCAATCATGCAAAAGAACTCCAATTCCCGTTCCGTACGGTAAAACCGAAAAAAAAACAACTAAAAACCTGTTCGTATCGGTTTTTAATGTACATTTTTAAACTCAACTCTGCAAAGTTGAAGTTTTTCATAAAGTAGCAAGGCTTGTATGTAGTTAGATGCATCTGTAGTTGACACTGGTAACGTTCACCCCTCTAGAGGAAAAATACCCGACTAGTGTAATCGAACTCTAGTTTATGCTTGACATTATACAGGCTGTTAGAAAAAGTATCAACACGTGTTACAGATTTCTATTTTTTGGTTTTTTAGTTGGAGTGTGGTGAGGTCTATTTTTAGTGTTTAGTAAAAAGTCTTGTTAGTGACTGTTTTGACAAAGCTAGTGATAGTGAGACTGAGAGCTAAATGTCGATGAAAGATCAATAACATGCTTTACGCATGCAGTTTACGTAACGGGCTGATGATGATGATGATAATGTTGAGCAAAGTATAGGTCAAAGTAAAAGTACCAAGACATGTTCTATGATGCACAAATCCTTTAAATTCTTTCTCTCTTTTATTGGCAAATCCAATAATACTTAACCCAAATCGAACACAGAAGCACAAAACTCATAACCACATAACGAGTAAGAATTGATTTTATGTAAATTATGTACTGGAAGTTGATGCCCATATATTACGGTTCAACCAGACTCTGGGGAACTGTTACTTCGAAGATAATTTACATAATACATATTATTATAACAACTCTATAGAAGATTTCCTCGAAGAGATAAGCGAAACTTCATTCACTTAAAACAATATTATTTATGTGAATGAAATAGCGAAAGTAGATTCTATTTTGAACACAAGTAGGTACAAATCTAGAATACGAATAGTTCCGAGAATAGTAATGTGTATTCTGAACGACGAGTTTTAAATAACACACCGTAATTTAAAAGAATAACAAATTACGTCTGCGTTCTGATTTTCTTTCTATATTCGTCAAGATATATTGACGTTTTAAGAGCCCTTTTATATTGAAGGTAGGAAGACTACGAAAATTATCTATTTCATTGTAATAAGCAATCAGCGTCGCCCAAGGACACCAGTAATACCAAAAAAGTTACTACCAGAGCGATGCCGGACGATGGATAAGGGATTTGAGGATTAAGGACGAATGGGCAGATCTGGGCCTTCGATAGAGATAGAAATAGAGATAGAGATAGATAGAGATAGATAAAGAGATAGAGATAGAGATAGAGATAGAGATAGAGATAGAGATAGAGATAGAGATAGAGATAGAGATAGAGATAGAGATAGAGATAGAGATAGAGATAGAGATAGAGATAGAGATAGAGATAGAGATAGAGATAGAGATAGAGATAGAGATAGAGATAGAGATAGAGATAGAGATAGAGATAGAGATAGAGATAGAGATAGAGATAGAGATAGAGATAGAGATAGAGAGAGATAGAGATAGAGATAGAGATAGAGATAGAGATAGAGATAGAGATAGAGATAGAGATAGAGATAGAGATAGAGATAGAGATAGAGATAGAGATAGAGTGGACGTAACATAGAGTTTGAGTCGTTTGATTGAATAGCTGAATTTCTGGTTGAGACTGTAAGTTCAAGGCCGAAGGGATTGTCATGAAAACCGAGTTGCTACTAAAATGGTGAGCTTAATTAGGTTAAAACTGCGATTCGCACAGAAATCGCAATTACACAATTCCTCAAATCGTTCATTATATAAGTCCGTATAAGCTAAATGGTACGCATTCAGTCTTTACATGTGTTGAAAATATTTTTAAGTCATGTCCTATTTTTAAATAACTTTTGCGTTGCATTGCCTAGCTGGCGCCACTGTAGCGTAAAGTCCTTATAATCCAATCACTGTTAATGTCAAAGACAAAATTGGACTAGCAAAGGGATTTGGAATCCTCAAACCATGGGATTGACTTGGTAATCACTGAGCCCTATGCAGATACGAGAATGAAATACAAATTTAAGATATTGAGATGAAAATCAAATTCACAGCGCGTAGAATATTGCAAGTCCTTTTTTTTATGCAGTCTGGTGATTATAATAATAGGACCACACTAAAAAAGATGGGAATTTTCTGACTTGGGACGTTACGACACTGTTCAGCCAGCGTCTCAAGAGACTTGACTTTTCGATCTCAAATTTGATGTACTTCATTATACTTCGGCCAATGAAATATGTTTTTCATCCCATATTTAATAGAAACTGTAGAGTTAGCATACCCGAGGCCGGTATATGTGCCAGCGTAATCCTTTGGGACATCCACGAAGGCCTCATTTGGTATCTGTCATACAAAGGATCCGTTTACACTCAACGAACCCTGATGATCACTGTAATGATTCTGAACACACATGGAAGGTTACTAGTCAGTTATACGTGAATAGGCAAAATTAATAGTTTATAAATTTTACAAGAACGTTTGTTGTAGCATCATGTTTTTACATCAAATCTTAGCTTAGACACCTTTTTTTTTAATTATCTTACCAAAAACCGTTAAAATACTAACATAAATTGATAACATTTTTAATACTTTTAAAATATACGTAAAGCACCTATTATATGTTTTCGATTAGTGTTTTATTGGTAATACCTATAAAATATATAATGATTACTAGAATATCTTTTTCAGCTTGAAAGCAATCAGGGCACAGTGTTGTCAAATTTACAAAATTCCGTAAAAGCACATTTTTTTGTTTCTTATTTTTTTACTATCTACCAAAGACGAATATGACCTAAAAGCACCATCAAGGACCTTTAGTGGAATCATTATTTAATTTATTATTCAGCTCTCAGCGTCGGTACTAAAATTAGTATTTGCTATTACAACTCAATTCCCGATGGAACCCACAACTTCAAATTGTCATTTATCATTGTTAAGGACGCTTCACATAATTCGAAGCGTGATGTTTACTAACGACATGAAATTATGTGACAAAAATTTTAAATCTGAACTTAACTTAGAAGACCTACGACCAATCATGATCTATTTAATTTATGTTGCCAGTTGTTATTCTATTTCTTATAAATTTGCCCAGAGTTCACCACCACTTCCCTTATGTTGTCAGAGCGTTTACAAACATACAACTTGATTTTGATCACACAAAGAGTTGATTCGTGTAGGAACCATACCGTTATACGTTCCGTAGCAGTCAGCAACTACGTTAACTTAGAAATATAAAATATATATTTTATATTTATTTGCCTGTCGCCTCCATAAATAAAAATATATATTTTATATTTAGTATATAATCAACATGATTATTTTTATTTAAAAAAAGAACGCATTGTCCTAAGTTCCTTGGTCTTTAAGCAGTGGTACCCGCTTCTCATTCATGGATTTAGGTAAGAACTTTCTAAGATAGTTTACATAGACTTATAATTTTCAATTATAAGCATAAAATACCGAAGACCTGTTCTTGAAATCGTCAATCCACATTGATCAAGCCTGGTGAATAATGCAACGAGAGCCAAAGGCAGAAGTGGACACTTTTAACGTACAAGTCTACAAATGAAACCTTTCAATAAAAAACAACCGATTACATAAATAATAAAAACAAAACGTTACAACAACACATTTACAATTCCTTCTATTTTCTGTAACAACACGATTCCATTTGAAACTTTACCTTCAATATTTTATTAATGAGCCGAAGCGAAATCGTGATCGCCCATCAATACCTTTCATTATGGCGGTGACCTTGAGTATCCTAGGTATTCTATAGGCAACCTGAATATGTACCATATTCTAATCGATTACTACCGCTGACGTAGAACAAACACAGACACATTTACACTAAGTATTTATTTAAAATGGTCTGTAGGTGTTTCCGTTTCCATAGCAACGAATGGTTTAAGACTAAAGTCGCTTATGAAATTATATGACAATTTGTTCAAGACACTTTTTAGGAGTCATTTGTAATACTTTGTAATGGTAAAGTTAGGTATCTCTATTCAAGGTCACAGCTGCAACCAAATAGCTCAATCGTTCGCTCCCATCTCTTTCCATTACCGCAGCAAAGTATTCGTAACTCCTCTGGTGTAGGTTTCCATGGGCGACGCCGAATGCTTACTGAAAAATAGAAAGTAAAGCTAAGAATTATATTCCAGAAATCACAGTTAGGTAATAAATAATGGCGATCTGACTTAAACACCAGAAAAACTATTTTGGCTTCTGATATTTCTTCAAAAGATGTTTGTCGAGGAACTCGCTCTACATATCAGTATAAGCCCCTAACGTGGCTTGAAACTAGTCGAGTTCCTCGTCATACGATTACGTGAGTAAGCCGTGTTTTTTTAAACATCGTGGCCTATACTAAGATTTTCTTTTGTATCGTAGTTGTCTCACAAAACTCATAACACGATATATTCTTCTTTTATTTGACTACCAAAGTAAAATCCATAACCGAAACTTGCACAAGTTTCATCTAAAAAACATTAACTTGATCCACATTAATCCCCTTAAGCTGTCATCGGTTCACTTTACACCGCACTTTTTAATCTATTTTAATTGAACACTCCTCAGAGAATCAATCCAATCATTGTCTCTTCACATTGGGAAATGACGGTAAAAATCCAATTTGTGAGCTGATATTTAAATTCGATTGTTTGGTTTTAAATGACTTTTTTATATACGTTTTTATATGTACAGTTATTACATTGCATATGTGTGATTAAGAACGTTTTGACATCTAAATATGTATGGGTTCTTTTATTACTCAAACTAGCTTTTGCCCGCGACTTTGGTCGTGTGGAATAGTAACTTCTTGCAGATTTTTGGTTCTAAACCTTGTGTCCTTTCTCGAGTTCCATACTCTGACTGTACCAAATTTTGCACAAATAGGTTCAGTGGTTTAGGCGTGAAGAAAAGACAGACAGACTGAGTTACTTTCGCATTAATAATATTAGTTTGGATTTGGATTAGTCAAATGTCCATGACTCGATACATTGTTTAACTTTGATGAAAACACGATCTAAGACCCAGATTAAGGACAAAAAAGGATACGGTTGCTAAGGAGAAATATAAGCAACGGTCAAAAAACACCCGCTTCAATTTTTTTCTGAATAACTAGTCAAAATATTTTCTTTTATCGACATTTTATTGGTTAAAAGTATACCTTTACACACATGGTTGAATAAATAAAGAAAGAAGAATTATCCGAAGATATCTTATGTGTTATATAGAGATACATGTATGATAGATGCATATTTAAGGATATTATGCACCTATTCAAGATGATGATGATAGAAATTCAACATAATCGGCGCTTAACCAGAAACCGCATGTTGCCACTCTAAGCATTACACACATTTTGGTTTAAGCACATTAATACCACTTACTGGCAACATTTAGGACAATATGGAGTAACGTTATGTAACACACACATACACTTACACAAATATAATTAACGCATTATACAAACCATGAGTTTGTATAAAAGGATATGAAGAAGAGAAATTTTAGATTTAGTGTGTTCGAAATAACCGCTTGTTTATTTGCTGGCAATACATAGGTATTTTTTTGTTATGTCATAGAATGCCAAACGAGGCTATGGATTAGCTGATGGTAAGCATTTGGCGCTGCCTATGAACACGAGTAAAGAAGAGTTACGAGTGGGTTTCCTGCCTTGTGGGGGTTGGGGCTTTGGGAATTTGTTGAATTGAATGTTTGAGCTTCCGGCTATCTCAATCACGCTGTACTTCTTTCACGCCGGTTTTCTCTGAGTGTATCCCTCCGGTTTAGACGACGCATTTGTTCATGGTGCTACCACATATGTATATGTATTAATTTAGAACATCTTTGTTTGCTATTACTTGTTTTATAGTCTACTTAAATGGTTAAACCCTAAATTGATCAGAGAGTCTCGAGGTAAATTTTTTATGAATACTTACATACTGGCATACTTAGCTAAATTTAGTCAGACTAATCATCTGCCGAATTGACAGCTTCACAAATAGACAAGCGCTACCAGCGCTTAAATTGGGTTGGACCTACGTTCATTCTTTAGAAGTCAACAAAAATGCAAACTGGAATAATTAATTGGAACCATTAAAAATACCACATACTAAAGAGTATAAGAATTTTTATCTTAAGCTATTAAAAAACAATAGACGTGTGATACTCATAATATTATGTTAACTAATTACTTAATCCTTAAATGATATTATACACTATAAGTGATTTATTCTAAATTCTACGGCAACAGCTATAAACCGGTATAAAACACATTAAAACAAGGAATCCTCTTAAGCAACACGCGTGGGTGTCAGTATACGAGTGCCAACACGAGTAAACGACGAATTTAACAGCCCTACAGCTATGAGCGATGCCTCGGTTTTAGTGGGAGAAATATTTTCATTTATATTATAATGTTGAATAACAGGATTGCGGATTTTGTTTTTTAACTTCTTCACTCATAAGTTTTAAATCCTGGTGAGGATTTTTTTATGTATTACGGCGGCAACTGAGCTTATGGATTACCTGATGAACACCAGAGGAGTGGATAAGTGAGCTGCCGATCTTTTAAAAATTTTTAGATTGGGAAGTGATGGGGAAGGCGAAGGACTGGGCCTTCTGTAACCTTACTCATACAGCGCAACACAATGCAGTTAATATTTCACGATGGTTGTCTTTGAGGGCGTGGTATCATTCTAGTGAAGCCGGTCCATTCGTGCCAAAATATCGCTCTTCCAATCTAGGCAAAGTTTAAAATAATTGTTTCTGAATGTTCCCCATGTGACTGTGACTTTTACGGAGTCAAACTCAATCATATTATAAACTACTAGCTACTCTCACACGGTTTCATCCGCTGCTCGGCTCCATTTAATCGAAGCATGATGTTTTATATTTTATAGCCTATAGCACTCAGGAACATTGTAGTTATCGATCAGTGAAAGAATGTCGGCAATCCGAACAGCGGTTCCAAGATTACCCCTTATATACAAACTTACAAATTTTACCTCTTTATAATATTAGTATACTTATATAGATTGAGAAAAATTAATAACTAGGTAAAAATAATATTTAATACTGCTTTTGTTCGTCACAAAAAAGGATGCTGTGATATATTTTTAATCATAATAAGGTTGACTTATATGCCACAGGTGTGCGTAGACTCTCATATTTTTATAACATCGTCTATATTTTATAGGCTACGTTTTTATTATGCGTTGCTTTTGGCTTAGATGAAAATCGTTTCACCTAAAAATGGAACACAGCTGGGTATTCCGTTTTTAAATTTAAATTGACAGGTGACACATCTGTCAATAAAACTTCAACATTATCATCTTTCGAATATATGAAAGTCAGCAACATAATACCTAGTACAGTACCCAGTGTTTTCCATTTTTAATTTTAAATGGATCCATAGTGTAACGGATATGATGACCGATACAGCGGAAATTATTGATTCACGATTATCGCTTTTTGATTTATGTAGGTAGGTACAGTATTGAATAAACGTAGCCTAGTAGTTTGCAAAACATCAGTTTGACTCATAAGTTTTACAATATATTAATCGCTTTGCTAGTGAAAGAGATTAAAATAAATGAAGACATCAATGAAACGTCAGATTTTTTCTTATACTTACCCCCGGTTTCCGAAAGGCCGATCAATGTTAAAATCAATTTAATCTCTTGTCAAGTTATCTGATTGGTTGACTGAATTATTAACAACCAATCAGATGACATGACAAGAAATTTAATAGGAGATTTAAAAAATATATTATTAAATAATTTTAGCGTTGACAAGCCTTGCAGAAACCGGGTGCTAGTTTATTGATAAGCAAAACTACAGGAGCCACGACAAATCGTTGACAGTCACTGCACATGAAATTAAACTCTCATACTTATAATAGCTAAGAAATGAAACTTTTAAAAAATAGACAAAAATAATAATTATCTAAAACAACATTTATTCCAGTATAATTATATTATTCTGTATATATATCAATATTTATTTATTTTAGTGTTTTTGTTGTATTTTAAATCTTAATTTCTCTTCTTCAAATCAAAGTTCTCTTCTTGTTGCACCTACCATACTCTCTCTGCATCACCCTAAGGTTGACTGGTGAGAATGCCTACGGCATTAAATCCGCCTATGTAATGTTTTGTTGCATAAAGTTTAAATAAATAAATAAATAAATAAATATTCTTTTCCTGACTTTTTAACGATTTTATTACCCTTTCTTCCTTACGATTTTATTGGCGATTTTTCCGCCGTTCTCAGAATCATTTAATAATTACTTAACCCAGTCCCTAAAATTGCTTTCAAATCAAATTTCTTACTAAGTAATAATCACTAGATGTCTCTGAGTGAGGCAGTAAGCGTCAATCTGTAATTAGTTCTGAGAAAACTTCTAAAGTAAAATACAATTGCGTTTTAGATTTCTTGTTTCTCAGTAACGGCGTGGGAAATTCATTAATTGGTAACAAGTTTCAATTAAGGAATTTACTATAAGCAAGAATATGTGTATAAAGCAAGAAAATGAATATTTATTTTATTTTTATCGTGGTATGCAAAATGCAACCTTGCATATGTTAGTAACATTCACCATCATCATTATCATCAACCTAAAAGTGCCCACTGATGAGCAAAGGCCTCTTCTCACACGGAAGAGGTTAGAACATTAATCACCACACTTGCTCTTTTGCGTCGGGGGTTAAAAATGGCTCTAATACATGAGAATGATAATACAACTGAAACTAGCTAAATCATTGTATTATATGTATACATAAGAATGACTTTGGGATGTTATAAAAATCCAATAATAATAATAAAAATACAAGAACAGTGCTTTAATTCATATTTTTCTTGAAGCCAGCAAAGAACAACCAATTTTCTGCAGTAAAACTCAATTTCCTATAATGCCGCTTGAGGGCGTTTCTTCCGCAAATCGTCTGCTAAACTCATTAGGAATTGTTTGTACTAGTTGTCTTTGAAAGGTTGATTAACTATGAAGATAGAGATCTCAAGTAATTACAAGGTATATTTAAACGAATTAATGAATTTGATAGTAGATCTCTCATAATTTGGTAAATCAATACACGAGGTTGAAGGATTTTGTCGTAAGTTCATGGATGTTTTGTAGCTTTTCAATGTAAGTTTTTTTAATCTTTATATATAAATGTGGTGGTACACTACACTAGGTAATACTCCATAAAATATATAATTCACTTAAAGTTAATGTAGTTGGCAAAATTTTATATGAATATTTAATAAATACTTTCCCTTTTTATTTATTATCACAACACACATAAATATAGGTAATTTGTATATTAGGGTGTCCCTGTACATACATACAGCAAATTCGTCATTGTAAAATCTTCTTGCAGTTGTTCAATCGATACAAGAAATTTAAGACGCTGCTTGTGACAATTATAAAAAAAAACAACAGAAGGCAAAACTGACAACAACAATATTGTTGTCTTTTAAAATATTAATATCTCACATTATTTGAACGTGTAAGGTTTTAAATGAATTATATTTATTGTTTATTTTTTTCAACAGGTCGACGCTGCACATGGCGAAGATTCCTAGGTCCTCGAGGTGGAACGCCACAACATTCTGCAGCGTCAACTGAGACTGAGCTGCCTCCAATAGACACAAGAGATCTTTGGATACAGGATTCAAGGTAAAATATACATTCAGATTTCTTTTAAGTTTAATATCATATATTTTTTATAGCCTTCTGAAGTCTTCTAAAGATATCGTAATGTAACTGGGGTCAAGTTTTCGTTTTTGTTCAAAATTTTATTACAGCTGTCTTAAACGCAATATTGATAAATATTACGTCGGACAGTGAAGTGAGCTGACTCCGGGAAAAGGTTTTTTTTTTAGCTTTTTAGTTTGATGTCGACAATTATTTTTTTTTCACTGTTTCGTATCAGTTAACATGTTATTATTATTTATTGCATTACATTGACATTAATAATTTATTCGAAATGATATAGTTATGTTCAGTTAATAAGTTTTGAAAATTAAATTTAAAAGTGCCGTTCATTATTTTTATATTATTTCGTCTATGTGTACCTAACGTATGCATTCTCCAGTGAAGGCGATAGTGTCACTTTTTAATTGTTTGGTGTTTACAGCTTTAAATTTTCAGGGAATTATGTGGATTGTTGTTTGTCATTAAGCATGCCCATTATTTTTTATGTCTGCGATCTAATTGGCCTTCCAATATATATCCCAGTTAAACTAACAGTAAATGTATAGGATTGACACAATATAGATAATATGATCAAAAATCTTGCGGAATCGAACATTTTGATTTGAAATAGCGTGTGATGTCACGACTTAGTTCATTTTAAAAATGATATACAAAGCGGTGACATAGCAACCTTCTGCTTCTAAATTTAAATATAATTAAATTAAATTTAAATTTAAATCACTTTTATCAATGATCTTTTTCTGTTAGGACAAAATAAAAGAAAATTACGTGTCGAATATTTATTTATTATGTTATATTATTTGATTTTCGAATTTTCCTTAATGGTCAACTACCCTTTTTATTGAATGCTCGTGTCGATCCTATACTAGACTAGATAGACTTACATATCTCTTCATTTGTTTGACTATCAATTAAACCCAATATTTTAATGGTGGCTGGAATGTTTGCTGCAATGATTTTCTTCTCGCTTCTATGAATCTTTAGATTTCAAATAAAAATGTGTTTATACCAATGTCATTTAGATTTGCATGTCTATGTTGCTTGTGTATGTTCAATTCGAAGTTAAATTGTTTCTGATCGTTTTTTTAATCATAATTGTATTGTATTAATAGAAAATTTATTGAATTTGATATAAAAATGATAACTCAGAATGCTTTGTATAAAACTTTAATTTATGGGATAGTGTTAAAACGAATGCTTAAAAAATAGAGTTATTAATTTACATTAATAGTCAAAACTTTAGTTACAGTATCTGTCTATTGTATATAATAAAATAGCAAAAAAAAAAAACAATTCTACACTTTTCTTCACTTTGTTAAAACAAAATAGGATATTTTGCTTACCATCAAATGGTCAGTCCTGAATTTACTGTCCTATACCATAAAAAATCTAAGCAGACGAAACTGTAAGCAGTAACTAGTTCTTAATAAGATAACGTCTTAATTAGGCCAGGCCAGTGACAGCCCGCCAATAAAAACAGTAAAATGCCATCAGGAGATTTCGGTAACAGAAATCCAAAAGTAAAATCATCCCTTTTTATAATTTCTTTTTTTATTCTAAAGAAACCGTACTTCAATTACTTAGAACGTCCTCAAAAACTTTTGTGAGAAATTCCGGGTACTGTTCCGGGGCCAAACAAAATATTATTTGTATTCTAAGAGATACAATCTGCTTAGAAGCGACATTTAATATAAATAATATTCATATTGAAACAAATCCTTTTAATCTATAGTAATACTAGCATTCACCCGCGACTCTGTTCGCGTGAAATAGTGACTTCCTACAGATTTTTGGTATAAAAACTATCTGGTGTTCTTTGTTGAGTTCCAAACTAAATTTCACAGAAATTGGTTCAGTACTTTAAGCTTAAAAAAAGAGACAGACAGAGTTACCTTTGCATGTAATATTAGTTTGGACGAGGCTCCATGGCCAAGTGATTGGTTTCTGGCTGAGATAAACAATTTTAAGATTTGTATGGTCATTTAAAATTCTCATTTATTGGCCCAAAGGCTTGAACGGAGTGATACAACGACTTCACATAATACCAGCGCAAAAACAACACTAGCGTTATATTCAAGTGTGGGAGAGCCATGCTTCGGCACGAATGGGTCGGCTCGACCGGAGTGATACCACGGCCTCACAAAAAACCGGCGTGAAACAACTACAGCGTTGTGTTTCGCCGGGTGAGTGAGGTTACCGGAGGCCCAATCCTTCCCCACCCCCAATCCCTCCTCAATCCTTAAATCTCCAAATCCCTAATCCCTAAAAGGTCGGCAACGCACTCGTAACTCCTCCTTGGTGTCCATGGGCGGCGCTGATTACTTACCATCAGGTAATCCGTCTGCTGGTTTGCCGATCTATTACATAAAAACAAATTTCTTCGTCGAATTGAGGTTATCAGACATCCTGTCCCTTCTCTTCCCCAAACCACAATTTCTTCGATCCTCAAATCCCTGACAATCATCAAACGGTCTGCCATATTCTTGTAATTCCTTTGGCATTTTGGGTATGGACGGGCAGCGCTGATTGCTTACCATCAGATAATCAACCTGCTTGTTTATTGCTCTATGTCGTTAAAAAGGTTTCTTAGTTACTCAGTAAGAGCACTACGTTCAACCACGGAACTCCAAAATTACACAACAATTTGTAACCACTTAATAGAAAATTACAAAGAACCGAGTACCGCATAATCGTTTTCCATGGAAACTTGGATTTTACCTCTTTTTTAATAGGATTGAAATTGCAATGTTAAATTGTAAGTAGTGAGTGCACGCCAGTTATTCATTACGAAGTTCCCCGAACTTGTGTTGACACGTGTCATTTTAGGAAATTTCGTGTCGTTCGGAATCTAGCTTAAGTAATGTTGGCGTTTATTAAAACTGAGTGATGACGGAGTTTTTGAAAATTTGGCTTAATTAATACTGAAAACTTTTGTGAAATTGTTATTTTAAGTCCTAACGTTTAACGACAATTTTTATTCAAATGCGTAATTTTCAATACTATTCTGCAAAAAAATAATTCATATAAAAATACGCATACAATACAAGATTCCTGCCACAAATTTAAATGAAAATTAATTGAAATATGTACATGTATTAACATGAATAAATTAACTTGACAAAAGAGAAAGGAGTTTCTTGCTCTTTTGCTTAACTTTGGAATGAGAAAATAGCTTCAGTATAGGACTAACCGACAGACTGCCATTTTTTATCTTAAGGATAAAGATATGAAGATTTACATTTTATTGCTTAACATTGTTATACTACTGGTCTCTAAAATTAAAAAAAAGAGATATTAAGACTGTTTTGTTATAAAAGACATTCACAACGTTCCACGTACGTGTTTACCTAAGGTCGGATGTATATAAACCCAAGCTTCATTGTATTCACTACCAAAGCCAAGGATCGATTCTTAGGTCTAGCGAAAGCTAGGTGAAAATAATGTATGACAAAGGATATAGACATTTGCCTGTTAAAAACTGAATTGAATCAACAAATTATAACAAGGAGAATCAACGGAAAATAATTCACCAAACCCGCGGACGCCGGCGTTCGCGCTTATTGTGTCTCTGATTACCACTATTGAATGGTTAAAAATATTTTCGAAATTAATATGTGTCTGTTCTATTGATAATGTGTAATTAATGTTATTAAAAGAACTAGTAATTATATATATAAATATTAAATAAATAAATAAATTATAGTAAATGTTTCATGCGTGTTGGTCGGTAGGCCTTTTTGTGTCAATGTCCTTAATCTTTTTTGTGTGAAATTTGGTACAAACATAGTTTGAAACTCGATAACGGAGATTTGAACTCGAGGATAGATTTTATACCAAAAATCTGTAGGAAGGCATCATTCCACGCGAAAGCAGTCGCAGGCCAAAATTAGTCGTATTATAATTCAACTATTAATTCTGTTGCCCCAATAATAGAAATGGACTGACCTTTCGTGAAAGACTTTCTTCGTTTAATATAAAATCGTGACTTTTAGTCTTTAGGCTTTTTCGGTAAAGTCTTATAACATCGAAACTTTATTCGATAAATGTTTAACTTATTTAATTTCGTAACTTCAGTTAGTCGCGCCATAACTACTTAATTAGTCTGTAATTTAATTTATATTACAGCTTTTGTTTCGGTAACTAGTATTCTGTCGTCAATTTTTACTTGTAAATACTGTTTGTATTTATTTGCTTTAATTTGTCCAAATTGTGGGAGAGCCATGCTTCGGCACGAATGGGTCGGCTCGACCGTAGTGATACCACGGCCTCACAGAAGACCGGCGTGAAACAACCACAGCGTTGTGTATCGCCATGTGAGTGAGGTTACCGGAGGCCCAATCCTTCCCCGCCCCCAATCCCTCCTCAATCCCTAAATCTCCAAATCCCTAATCCCTAAAAGGTCGGCAATGCACTCGTAAATCCTCCATTGCGGGTGTCAATGGGCGGCGCTGATTGTTTACCATCAGGTAATCCGTCTGCACGTTTGCCGACCAACTACATAAAAAAAAATGTACAGTTGTTTATAAGAGACGAATTCTTCAGCTAACGTAACTATTATTCATTACATTACATGTGAATAGGTATAGGTATACGGATTATTTTTGAGTAGGTAAAATCATTACATGTCTTCTCTTTGGCTCATTGTGGGGAAAGAGGGAATGTCAGTCTTCGCAAGCTTACGGCGCGTTGCTTCAAAGAGCCAAAATCTACCACAGACGGGGCCGTAAACGGCTGATGCTCAGCTGGGGTCGCGGGACAAGCACAATAAGGCACCTCGACTCAGTCTAAAGCAGGAGAAGGAACGGGGGGTTATTTAGTAAGAGTCAGATACATCGGACGGGAGAAGTCATTTGATGATACTCCCATGACAATAAAAAAATGTACAAAATTGACAGTATTGTTTGAGTTATAAAGTACAATATTAAGACTTGACTAGAATTGACTTGCTTACTTATTTTGAT